GAAACTACCAATTGTGAGTCACCAAGAGTGTACAGAGGTGTATGCTTCGGCGTCACGCCTCATTACGGATAAACAACTGTGCGCTGGAGGTTTGGATGGTCAGGATTCCTGCCGTGGAGACTCTGGTGGGTCCCTTATGGGACAGGCGACGAAGAAGAAAATCTGGTTCGCCTTTGGGGTCGTCTCTTATGGCCCTTCACCGTGCGGGACACCAGGTTGGCCTGGAGTCTACACTAGAGTAACAGCATTTAGCGATTGGATCCTATCAAAGCTTGAAGCGTAATTTTATAGCGTATTTATGACACTACAAGATGGCGCTTACCTACCACGCCAGCGACTTTATTACTACATAAAAATATATGTATAAAATGGGATTGTTATAAAAATACTCACAATAAAGTGCCATTATATAATTGTTATATAAGGTTTTATTTCATATTTATTTATTTATTTTTATTTTGTTTAAAGACAATTCACACACCAATTGACCTAGTCCCATGCTAAGCTGGTGAAGCTTGTGTTATGGGTACTAGGCAACGGATATACATACATATTATAGATAGATAGCCATATAAATACATATTTAAACACCCAAGACCTAAGCACAACACCAAATGCTCATCACATCGATGTTGGTCTCAGCCGGGGATCGAACCCGGGAACCATGGATTCGCAGTCAGGGGTACTAACCACTAGACCAATGAGTCGTATGTATTATTGATAATTTTTTTAGTAAAATTCAAGGGTTTTTTAAATTTTTGTTTAGTTAATATAACATAACATATACATATATATATATATAACAGTGCTATTAAACTGTAACAATTTCTCATTTTATTACAAAAAATAAATAGATCTAATGTATGCCTGCTTTTTATTGCGTGTGAAGTTCATTCCAATAAAGTTTCTACTGGTCTCGCGTTTCTCGGTCTGCTCATGCCGACTATTGCATATTTTACACGAGGTTATTTGAAGGACACTATACAATACACAAGCTGGAATGCGGACTGGGGACATATCCACACATGAAGATCGATGTAACCCTAGACTAGGCGATGTTACATCAACTCCATGCATACAGGTGCAATTTTTGTGTTTAATAATTCAACTTTTGAACTTCTATTTTATTTAAAAACAGTTCTTAATATTTTGAAGTTGAAATTATTTACTTCTTACAGTTTTGATAAAAAATTTGATGCAACTGTAAGTTAACTAAAACACCAAATTTAGTCATAAATAAAACTCAGACTCTATGCATAAAAATAATTTTGTAGTGTAAAACGTGTTCTCCAAATTTCAAATACTTTATAACAATGTCATGCTAATGCTAGGAAGTCAAGGTGAGCGCCTTATAAATTACTATTTGATTATAATTGCCCATCAAACATAAATTTGATATATTTATGTTTTGTTCAATGAATATTAAAGGCCGAGTTTGATAGCTAGAAGAATTAAATTTGTTTCGCTTTCATAAGAAAAAAATTAATAAATACAATAATATATCATATAAAAGCATGGATGTATTTATAAACTATGGGCTGTATTAATCTTCAAATTGACATCAGTATTAATAATATATAGATAATCAAAAGATGTCTAGGCAAAAAAATATATTTAAACTAGGTAATCACATGACTGTTCGGGTAGTAGCTACTCAGACGTGGTCGACACGCGTTACTAATGGTTACGCCTATCTCCCCTTTCCCTTTCCTCTCAGTCAAAAATTGATTGCTATAAATTTAAGTATCTAAAGATTTCATGATCTGGATCCGAAATTACTTATGTTCTAAATATCAAATAAATTTCAGCAAGCTACGCAATGATTTGATTTATTCCTTAGATTTAGGATATCTATGACTTCTGCTTCTCAGTGGCAAAGTCAAAAGTCAAAAATCATTTAATCAGATAGGTAACACAATGTACACTCATGAACGTCAAAAAAAATTTTTGGGGGAACCGGGGGGCCAAGGGCCCCCCGGGGGGAATGGGAAAAAAAAAAGAATTTTTTGTTTTTTTTTTATTTTTTCCCCCCAAAAAAAAAAAAAAGGGGGGGGGGTTTTTTTCTTCCTTCCCCCCCCCCCCCCCCCCCACCCCGATTCCGTCGGGGGGGGGGGGGTTCCCCCCCCCAAAAAAAAAAAAAAAAAAAAAAAAACCACCCCCAAACCCCACAAATAAAAAAAAAAAAAAAAAAAAAAATTTTTTTTTTTTTTTTTTTTTTTTTTTTTTTTTTTTTCTTTTCTTTTTTTTTTTTTTTTTTTTTTTTTTTTTTTTTTTTTTTTTTTTTTTTTTTTTTTTTTTTTTTTTTTTTTTTTTTTTTTTTTTTTTTTTTTTTTTTATTTTTTTTTTTTTTTTTTTTTTTTTTTTTTTTTTTTTTTTTTTTTTTTTTTTTTTTTCCTTCCCCCCCCCCCCTTTTTTTTTTTTTTTTTTTTTTTTTTTTTTTTTTTTTTTTTTTTTTTTTTTTTTTTTTTTTTTTTTTTTTTTTCTTCTTCCCCCCCCCCCAAAAAAAAAATAAAATTTTTTTTTTTTTTTTTTTTTCCCCCCCCACAAAAAAAAAATATTAAAATATTTTTTTTTTTTTAAAATCCTCCCCCCCCCCCCCCCCCCCCCCCCCCCCCCCCCCCCCCCCCCCCCCCCCCCCCCCCCCCCGGGGGGGGGGGGGGGGGGCGCCCCCCCCCCCCCCCCCCCCCCCCCCCGGCTTATGAACGTCAAAAAAGTAAAAATAAAAAAATATTTTTGTTCTTATTTTTTTCTCTACCTCTTACATCAGCACTAAATAGGTACCTTATGTAATATCTCCCAAACCCAAAACCACAAAACACCAAATGCGATTACGAAGCAAGATAATACACGTGCGGCGTCGGCGATTGCGTTGGCAACGGTACTGGATAGGCGGAAAACGGGCGGGGGGGGGGGGGGGCAGGGGAGGGCAACCCGGCCCCCCCCCCCCCCCCCCCCCCCCCCCCCTTGTACACCGTCGGAATACCTGCAACCTGGCTTAATGAGTCATACAAACTGGAGAAGCAAAAAAATTGAAGATTAAAAAAAAAAAATATTTTATTTGTGTACTTATTTTTATTGATATATTATAGTCCCCCATCTTCACTAATAGGTAATTTATGTAATATTCCAAACAAGAAACAATAAACACTAAAATGCGATTACGAAAGCAAGAATAATACACGATTGCGTTGGCAACGGTACTGGATGGGAAAACGGGGCGGGGTCGGGGGGCCCCTTCCCCCTGCGGTTCCCCTCTTCTTCCCTTCCCCCCCCCCCCCCCCTTTTTTTTGTTTTTTTTTTATTTCCCCCCTTTTTTTCTTTTTTTTTTTTTTTTTTTCCCTCTCTTTTGCCCCCCAGTAGACGTCTTTTGGTATATTTTCAATTTTAATTTGTGTGTTAAATAATTTAAACAAAATGTCAGAAGTTTGTTTTTATTTGTGATAAACCTTGTGTTTTGAGAAAATTTTTTTTTTTTTATTTTTTAAAGGGAAGGAATTTTTTGGGGTTGGGGTGGGTTTGGTAAAAATGTATACTCAAGGGTAGTATTCCGAGCGAACGAATCGGATCACAGGGCGAATCGGATCAATTTAAAAATAGGAAATCTGTCTGATAATTTAAATATCACATTCACATAAGAACGCATTCAAAAGGGCGTTTTGATGTTCGTCTTGCTCCATTTATACTGAGTATTTCACTTCTCCCGATCATAAGCAGCATTTCGGGTAATCGCGCTATTTTGACTGGACTACAGTGGCAATGCCGCTCGTCAGCCACTCAGTTTTTTGTGTGTGTCGCAATTTGGCGCTCATCTAAAGTACGTCCTTACGATTTCTTTGTGACATATGACGGATTTGTTTTAAAATTCAACTACATTGGTTTATATTGTTAAGCAAGGTATTTATATTAAAGAACCAATTCGCTTTTAAGTATAATCTTAGAGGTTAACTTCTAAAATATTTATTTCAAAAGTCTTAATTATGGGGCTAATCGCATCATATCCTCAGGGGCGAATTGGATGATACTTTTAAACTGATTTATTACATGTTTGAGGTTATTGATTCATATTTATTTCATTGTAGATGGTTCGCACGTATAAGAGAAAGACTGATGCCGGAGAATGGTCTCAAGAAAAAATGAAAGAGGCTGTAAATAAAGTCCACAACAAAGAATTGACCTTACGTAAAGCTGCTAAGATTTTTTCAGTACCGTTCACGAGCTTACAGAAAAAAAGGACCTTATATGTGAAAATTGATCTCATTATTAACTTTTTACTGATTCCAAAGTTATTTAACACTATACCTTAAAATTTCGTTATATATGTTGTGTACGATCCGATTCACCCCGAAAGTTGGGGCGATTCGGATATTTTCCTTTTTTTAGTTTTTAATAGGTAATTAAGAGAATATATGTATGATTTAAGTTTTCATATGTTTATTGCATAGCTAAATGTTACTTCTTACGATTTTATCAATAAAAATAACATTATATAACACTTTAGTATGATTTTCTCAACCTCAAAGAAAAAGTGATCCGATTCGCCTCGGTCTACTATATATGAAATGCTTCTAACTTTACATTTAGTGCCAGTTCTCAAATCAAGGGCGTAGAACGGTAGAGAAGATCTGGCAATAAACTCTCCGCCACTCTTTTTAATCGCCATGTTGTTTTTTTACACAACGTTTGTAAGGAGCTGCACCCATTACATCATGATCCACGTGACATCTTAAGTAATTAATAATAATAACCTAAATTAAAAACAAAGACTTGTCCTCTATCAGCAGGGGGCATGGTGAAATAGGAGTACGCACTTACATTCTCGTGGGAACAACACGCAAACACATAGTCGAAATAACTAACATCATCGCATACACGAATTCAAGTACGACCAGTCACCGCAAGTAGCACCCGTTCACGAGTATGACGCATGGCCAACCATTGGCGCCATCCATAGTGGAGCTAGAATTTTCGACATATTTATTTTTGTACAATTTTTTTTAATTCAGTAGAGGCGTTTAGCTTTTTTGGCCCTAATTTAACTTTTTTGTTAAGTGTATTAGGTGTGTGTACCCGTTATCGCAAAATAAATAACGAAGGTATTTTGCGACGGGCGTAGGCAAATGCGAGATCGCCGTTGCCAAGCCTGAGCTTATGTCAATTCACAGTATCTTCGATAAGCCTGTGGAATGCTCACAACTGCATACAGCCCTTACGATAGTTATTTAAAGTATATTAATACAATCCGATAGTCCCCTAGATATCCGATAGATACACAAACAAATAGTT